CGCCACAGAACTCCATACAAATCCAGAGCTTATCCCTCCGGAGGTATGAGCCGAAGAATGCCACCACATTTGGGTGCCGACAGCCCTTCATCATCAGTATCTCCTGCTGAATGATCGTGAAGTCGTCCCCCGGCTCTAACTTTATGATCTTTATGGCCGCCATCTCTCCAGACATGACCCGTTTGGCCTGCAGGAGCACCAATCACATCAATCACATCAATCACACCATTACATCGCATTATCATCACTCATGAGTCACCACAACATACCTTATAGACGTCGCCATAAGTGCCGGAACCCACTCTTTGGATCAAATCATACTCTTCTTGTGGGTTACGGCGAGAGATGTCGAGCGGTTGAGCCATTCATATGATATGTGTTATTATTACAGTTATTATAATTATAGTATTGTTTATGAATTGACACAACGATTGAGTGTCTGTCTGCAGATTGCTATGATTGCTATGATTGGTGTCAAACACTCATCAAATTGCACTTACAGTTGGTGTTCATTATTAACAGTCATGTAATGAGTAGTGAATGGAGTGACAAACCAGTGCTGTATTGGTGTCCAAATGGATGGCAATCATCATTGCATTGATTGCGGAGACAATTGTATGAATAGTGATAATTGTGGCGAAAGTGTAGTGCAAGTGATATAATGAGCGGACATTACATTCACGACATTCATAACATTCATTAGATTACAATACAGTGTACTGTAAATGAGATGACAATACATTGACAACACAAACAATTGCTTCAATACATAGTCTATTACAGTATATTAACAGTAAGTGAATGAGTCTTTCAGTGTATGACTGTATCATATGATTACAAGACTATGTTTGCGACATCTATTGCACAGTCATGTGATGACTTATTGTGCTACCAATTTAAATCATACAATCATTGAATACTTGTCATCTATTTCGCTCATCATTTGATTACAGACTTACAAGACTATTATTCATTCATTTACTACAGTATACAGGCACATTTTTCATTGTTTAGCAAATAATACTTAACCAGTAATGCATTTTGTAATTTGTTGCTTGGAGGTGTTTCATACAGATTCTGTATTACCTTGTTAATTATAAATTTAGTA